TGAAATCTCCATCATTATTTCCATCACAAAGCCATATTTTCCAGTTACTGATCCTTCTTTGTTTCCAACTTTCACATTCCAATCACCAGTATTTATCAGTGCATCTTGATCGCATATCTGATCAATTTCAGCCTGAAGAAGTTGATGAAAATCTTCAATTTCTTCATCTTTAACATTAGTGGTTAGTGCATAAATTTGAATAGTAGTTATATTAACTGGTTTTCCTCGTAGGTATAAGGGTATTATCTGATTACAGGCAACTTTGTACTTACAGGATAGATCTTGAAATTTTATTTTAGATGATGAATGTGACACCAATCTCTTCCAATTTGTCAATGTAGTCATTAGTCAAGAAATCATTCCTCACATGGTTGGAAACCATGACAGCCTGAGGTGGGGACAGGTTGTGTCGCTTTGGTGCCTGGATTCAGGTGGACTCAGCGCCAGACACACAAAACCCTCAGAGCCACCAGACCAGCATGTAACCAGTCACGCTGCCCTTAGCTTCCCTGTGGTCCTAACAGACACTGAAACCAGCTCCATCCAGGACCCCCATGAACTATTTCCGGATTGAGTCCCCTGAACATACATAATACCAAGGCCAATAGGAGCCACACCTACGGAGCTCTGCTGTCACATCCCTTCCACAACCACCTCATGAGTTTCTTGAATTGCAGGAGCCTTCCAGAGATTTCTACCCTCCGGGTCCAACAGCCGTACTGTTTACAAATACAACAACCCCACAATGCCTGGGAGACAACATGAAGAAACAAGAGAGAAATGGCTCAAACAAATGACTAAGATACAGAGTCAGAAGATGTTTCAGAGAAGAAAAGGTCATGGAACTAACTGAAAAAGAATTCAAAAGAATGATAATTAGGACTTTCCACACGTTTCTCCAGCCCTCCTAGGCTGTTGCAGCTCACTGCCACTTTCTGCTGCCCGAGCAACTCACCTTTGCTATATTGCCAAGGTGTCTCTTTCTAACACGCTTACTCTGGAGAAGCTGGACGTGAAAGGAAAGTGAATGGTCATTAGAGTGGACTTTAATGTTCCTATGAAGAACAACCAGAGGATTAAGGCTGCCATCCCAAGCGTTAAATTCTGCTTGGACAATGGAGCCAAGTCAGTTGTTCTTATGAGCCACCTTGGCCGGCCTGATGGTGTCCGCATGCCTGACAAATACTCCTTAGAGCCAGTTGCTGTAGAACTCAAATCTTTGCTGGGCAAGGATGTTCTTTTCTTGAAGGACTGTGTGGGTCCAGAAGTAGAGAAAGCCTGTGCTGGTCTAGCTGCTGGTTTTGTCATCCTACTGGAGAACCTTCACTCTCATGTAGAAGAAGAAGGAAAGGGAAAAAATGCTTCCGGGAATAAGGTTAAAGCCAAGCCAAGTGAAACAGAAGCTTTCCAGGATTCACTTTGCAAGCTAGGGGATGTCTATGTCAGTGGTGCTTTGGGCACTGCTCACCGAGCCCACTGTCCCATGGTGGGAGTGAATCTGCCACAGAAGGCTGGTGGTTTCTTGATGAAGAAAGAGCTGGATTACTTTGCCAAAGCCTTGGAGAGCCCAGAATGACCCTTCCTGGCCATCCTGGGCGGAGCTAAAGTTGCAGACAAGAGCCAACTGATCAATAATATGCTAGACAAAGTCAATGAGATGATTATTGGTGGTGGAATGACTTTTACCTTCCTTAAAGTGCTCAATAACATGGAGATTGGCACTTCTCTATTTGATGAAGAGGGAGCCAAGATTGTCAAAGGCCTAATGTCCAAAGCTGAGAAGAATGGTGTAAAGATTACCTAGCCTAGTGACTTTGTCATTGCTGACAAGTTTGATGAGAATGCCAAAACTGGCCAAGCCACTGTGGCCTCTGGCATACCTGTTAGCTGGACGGGCTTAGACTGTGGTCCTGAGAGCAGCAAGAAGTATGCAGAGACTGTTACTCGGGCTAAGCTGATTGTGTGGAATGGACCTGTGGGGGTGTTTGAATGGGAAGCTTTTGCCCAGAGAACCAAAGCCCTCATGGATGAGGTGGTAAAAGCCACTTCCAGGGTCTCCATCACCATCATAGGTGGTGGAGATACTGCCACTTGCTGTACCAAATGGAACATTGAGGATAAAGTCAGCCATGTGAGCACTGGGGATGGTGCTAGACTGGAGCTCCTGGAAGGTCAAGTTCTTCCTGGGGTAGATGCTCTCAGCAACAGTTAGTGACTCCCTGCCCTTTGGTTCCTGTACACAGTCCTAAGTCACCTGAGAGCTTTCACTTTGCCATTAGCTTTCACGATTCTGCTACTGGCAAGAGATGAAGCACCAAGAACCTTAAAACATATTCACAGCATCTCAGCTCATTGTGGCACTCTGGATTCTCCTACATTCTTCAGTTTCAATTTCTAGTGGCTAACTCGTGCTTTCTAGAACATGTATATTTTGGATGAACCTTGAGGACATTATGTTGAGTGAAATTAGAATGTGTATATTTCTTAAAAGAAAGTGAGCTGTGTTAGCTTAGTTCTCTTTAAATAGCTCACTCTGATTAACTTTGTCATTGTATTATTTCTGGAATGGAAATAAGAAATTCCAGTTTTAAGCAGGTTATGGGGACAAAGTTGATGATCTATTAAACAAACAATATGATTGTCCATTTAAAAAAAAAAAAAAAAAGAATGTTAGGTACCTTCAAAGGATCAATAGAAAGAGTGAGGAAAACAGGGAGAACACTATTAAAAACTTTAGAAGAATTCAGGAGAACACTACAAAAACAAACAGGCAAAATAAATGCAGATTTTGAAACAATACAAATCTGCAATTAGAAATTCAGAGATTAAGACTGAGATCCCAGAAATGAACAATATATTGAAAGGGTAAAAGAGTAGATGGAAAGTAATGACCTCCTAAATTAGTAAACCGGAAGAGAAATCTCTCAAGACTAGAATACTATAAGAACAATCAGAAAAAAGAAAGAAAAACTCTGAAGGAAGCCTAAGAGTTATGTAGGATGCCATAAAGAGGAACAACTTACTGGTGATTGAAATTCCAGACCAGCAAGAGACAAGCATAGAGAAAACTGTTGAAAAGTTGTTGGAAGAAAACTTCGCTAATCTCGTGAAAGACGAGATGCTAAGCATACAAGAAGCTGAATGAACCCCAAACAGGATAGATCCCAAAAGAAAATCAGCAAGACGTATCATAATCAAACTTTCAAAAAAATCAAAGACAAGGAAAGACTCCTGAGAGCATCTCAGGAACATTGAAAAGTTACCTACAAAGGAAATCAGAAAGACAAAGCTCTGATTTCTCAGCAGAAACCATGCAAGCAAGAAGGCAATGGGATGACATACACAAACTCTGAAAGAGAAAGACTGCCAACCAAGAATCATATACCCAGCAAAACTGTCCCTTAAATATGATTGCAAAATTAAAACATTTCCTGATAAACAGAAATTAAAGGAATTTGTAATGACCAGACCAACTTACTAAAATGTGTTCTTTGGACTGAGAACCAACAACAGGAGACAACACCCTAAAATTACCAGACATGACACCACCACCCAGAATTCAATTCAGGTACAGTTGAGTTATAAATATTATTATTTATAATTAAATCATAATTAAATATAATTGAGTATTTAAAGTAAAACAAACCTACAAGACTGAAAATAAAGAACCAGAGATATAAACGTATAATGAAGTCAACTACAAAGCAAGAAGAGGGAATAGTGTAGATACAGAACTTCCAAATGGCCAGGAAGTCAAGTAGACTTCAAGATAAGACAGACTGTTTTAAACAGGGAAAAATTCACAAATTACAGGGCAACTCCAAAGAAAAATAATACACCTGTATATAAAAATGTTAAAAAGGGGAAAATCAGAGAGATTTAGTAAACATTAATAGAGAAGAAATTAAAATGACAAGAAAGCCCACAAACAAAATGAACTCAGCATAGAAAATTATATGGAACAAAGAATCCGGCATCACCACATGGAAGAAACTGAAAACACACGAAAAATGACACCGATCAATTCATACCTATTGACACTGAATGTGAGTGCATTGAAATGTGTAAGTCAAAAAACAAAGAGCAAAACGGATAAGAAAACAGGATCTTTCAATATGCTGTCTACAGGAGACATATCAAAAAGATGGAGACAGCCTAAATGCCCTTCAACAGAAGAATGGTTAAACTTTCGTACATACACACACAATGGAATATTACAAAACACTGAAGAATAATGATGAATCTGTGAAACACCTCACAGGTTGAACCTGGAGGACATTATGCTGAGTGAAATTAGTCAGTCTCAAAAAGATAAACATTGTATGGAGACTAACGTAAAAAGTTTTTTTTTAAAGTTTTCTTGATAAACAGCAATGATGACTACGGGGTGAGGGGGATTGGGAAAATTATTTGTGTGCTAGAGGGTAGACACATGTCAACACAATTGACAGGGCGGACAATATACAGCAAGAGGGAAGTTAGTAGAAGAAAGATGAAGGTAGCAAGAGACACAGGGAAGAATGCAAGAGTTAGTGAATAGAGGTAACTGCTGTTAACTGTTGGTACGTGGTGGGGATTGCAACCACATAGTGAAGTAAAGCGTATGGTTTGTTGAATGTAAGCCTGATGATCTGCTCTGTAAACCTTCACTCAATTCATAATAGAAAGTTCAAAAAAGAAAGAATTTCTAGCATAGTAGACTACATTTTTGTCAGATCCGAAAGGCCCAATGCAGTTCATGTCCGCTCACTAATAATGCCAAGGGCACCTATTTTTAGGTGTCCCATTCATGTTTGATGACTTCCAATTTTCTTGGATTCATACTTTTATAGTCTGCATTCTGATTATTAATGGAGGTTTGCAGCTATTCCATCTGATCTTGAGTTGTGTCCCATCAGCAAATGAAGGTCCTGAGAGCTTTGCTCCAGTTTGCCACTCAGGTTGGCTCAGTTGTGAGGAGGCAGTTTTCCCCAGTCTTATTTTGAGTGCCTTCCAACCTGAGGGGCTCATTTCCTGGCGCTGTATCAGACTAGGTTCCACTGCTACTCATAAGGCTTTTACTGACCGATTTTTTTCAGAAAGAGATCCCCAGTCCTCATTCCTATCCAACCTGGCTGCTATTGAAACCTATCCAACCTGGGCGACCCTGGTGGCCTTTGAATACCAATGGCTTCCAGCTTCACAGTAACACGCCAGCTTTGGTGGAAGGGGCAGGGGGTGGGAGAAGCTCTTGTTTTAAATTGTTTCTTTAAAACCAGGTCTCACCTGGAAGGCTCATCCACTCCTGAAGAAGAGGAACAGAATCATTCGAGTGACAAGGTAAGACCATGTGTGGGAAGGTTTATTCTGGGTTTGTGTTTATAGGAATTCAAAACCAGGAAGGACTTGCCCACGTGCACGGTATGACCCAGTTACCTCGAACTAGAATGAACACAATCCGTTGTGAGAAACATATGCCCTATTGTAAAGTTTTGCTGTAAGTTGGAATCAACTCTGTGGCAGTGGGCTTGGTTTGGTTAATTCTAAAGGGTTGGTCACTATTCCACATTGTCATATACTGTCTACTCTTGGATTGTCTTTTTAGAACTATTTCCTGTAATAAAGGGTGCAAAATTATTATGGTGGGTGGGAGGACCAATCCCAGAGAGTGAAAACATGAGCTGTACCTCCCTCACAGGGATGGTTGTTGTTGTTGTTAAATGCTGTTAAGTCGGTTCCATCTCATAGCAACCCGGTATAGAGTTTCTGCGGAATAACTGGTGAGTTTGAACTGCCAACCTTGAAGTTCAAACCAACCTTCTGGTTCAGTGCTTATCCTACAGCACTATACTAGGACTCCATAGGGATGTTTGTTATTGTTGTTCAGTGCCATCGAGTTGGTTCTGACCCATAGCAACCCTGTATAGGGTTTCCAGGAAGTGGCTGGTGAGCTTGAACCGCCAACCTTAACCATTCAAACCAACTTTTCAGTCCAGCGCATTAACCCACAGCACCACACCAATGCCATTTTCCCATCAGTGTAATTACACCCTTCTAGATTCTCTAGAGTTTTTCCTGACTTATTTCCCTGCCATATCACTGCAGGTCTTACCACTAAAGGATAACAATGGTCAGGAAAATGAAGAAGTTGGTGCTGCAGAGGGCTCTGAAGGAGAAACCACAACCCAAGGGGAAGCCGAATCCGATGTGGAAGGCTATTCCAACGTGGACGTTCAGTCCTACGTGGAAGACAAATCCTCCAATGTGAAAATCAGTTCTGTGAACATCAGTGACACAGACGTCAGCCCTGCGGAACTGTCTGGAGATGAAGTAGACTCTGAGTATCCATATGAAAAAATCCTTGTTAAAACCAGTCTGGACTCCTACAGGGAGCCCAGCAGTCCATCAGAACTAGGAGAAGAGGCGTCTGAGCAAAATGACCAGCTTAGCAAACTGGTGAGTGTTCGTGGGTTAAGCTTTATGCGATGTTTTCCTGCCCTATGTATGCTAGGAACTACGGATACACTATGAATAAAAACCACAATCCCTAGTAGAAATGTCTGAGCAAACTGAGGTCTCAGAATTCACTACTCAATACTGAGTGATCCCAGGCTCTTCAAATTTTCCAAACCCAAGACGAGAGGCAGTCCATAGCCACCAATCGTGTGTCTGCATCCAGGGTCCCGCCCCCAGACCAGCACACTGTCCAATAGAACTCCCTGAACACCCATGTGACCGACTAGTGTGATGGAGGAACGAATTTTTTGTTTCTTTATTTTACTTTTACTTTAAATTTTAAACACCACCCATTGCTAGTGGCTACCCTTGTGGACAGCACAGTGCGAGAGAATAAGGAAAATAGAAACTGAAGCCCAGATGGCAGAGTAAGCCGCTTCACTTACAGGCCTCCCACATTTAAACAAACAAACAGGAGGCAGAAAACGACAAGGGCAGTGTTGGCCTTGTTGGGACTCTGGTGAGCAGTTGGGGGATCTTAGTTGTGAGGCGAAGGCTTGGCAGACGAGACTTTTGTTCATATTCACTGCCTGCAGAGGCTGCCAACTTTCCCGCTTGGGATCTTGGTCTTTGGTTCTGGAGTGAGCAGAGCTCATCTCGTTAACAAAGCCAAGCGACTCCCTAAGGCTCTTGTGTCTGCTTTGTCCATTTCGGAGGTCACTCAGGACAGAGGAGTGGTCAGCGCAGCTGGAGACGTTGCCAGTGAACATAATGCAAAGGACAATGTTTGTGAGATACCGGGGTCAAAACTGCAGGGAGAGAATTTATTTGGGAAATTGGAGCATTTGAGGTCACCTGAGTGTCTATACAGACAATCCCTGGATTATCAAAGATCTCCATCCCTAAGTCTGTCTTGAAGTCAAACGTGTCTGTAAATGGAAGTCGGATACGGTTCATAGTTAACATCAGTCAAATGTTGTCTAGTTGTTGATGTTGTTGTTAAGTGCTATCGAGTCGGTTCTAACCCATAGCGACCCTGTATAGTGTTTCCGAGAAGCAGTTGGTGAGCTTGAACCACTGACCTTGCAGTTCAAGTGGCTTTGCAGTCTGGTGCATTAACCTACAGCGCCACCCCAGGACTTAGTATTTAGCATATATTGCACTTTGTGGTTGCTGTTAAATGCCATCCAGTTGGTTCCAACTCATAGCGACCCTGTATTGGTTTTCTAGGGAGCAGCTGGTGGGTTTGAACCTCCAACCTTGCAGTTAGCAGTCCAGGGCTGATTCTACACAGCTAATAGTGTATCTCACTAAGCATAAAAAATATGAAAGATATACTTCCAGATACACGAAAATATCTTTTATGTAACAACACCATAATAGCAATAATATTGTTGTGATATACATTGCAAAGTAGTATCTCTTTGTTATTACGGACCACTGTATGTACTGTGAACTTTTAATATATAAGTTTCATGGGTTGGACATTCATATCTCAGGAACTATTTGGAATTTCAAGAGTCACATGCATGCCCAGGGCAAGACGCATGCCCAGAAAGCCCAAAACTAACCTACATTTTCTCTTCAGGTGGGTCTCAAGATGAGTTTAGTTATAGCATAGAGCCATTCTGAAAAAACAAAAAAACTGTTAAGAGGTGTTTTTTCTAGTTTTTCTTCCATTTGTTTCTGTAAAATAATTTGGAAAAGTCACTAAAACACAAAAGATTTCCATACCTTTCAACAATAGAAAAACAATGGAAAAGAGAAGGAAAACTAAACCTAGAACCTGAGTTCTAAAGCTACTGTATCAGACTATTCAAATGTTCTATTTGTAACAACAACAACAAAACTCACAAGCTATAGGAGGGTCAGAGATAAAGAGGAAGACCCCCAACGAGATGGATCAGCCAGGTGGCATCATTGATGGACTCAAGTGTGGCAGCGGTAGTGAGGTTGGCCCAGGATTGGACATTGTTTCGTTCTGCTGTGCATGGGGTCGCTATGAGTCGGTTCCAACTTGGTGGCACCTGACAACAACAACAACAAATATAGAGGAACCATGAAGATGGGCCATGCTAATAAACAAAACCAACACAAATCATCCTTCTGGAAGATGACACAATGGGCCTACCAGATACAGACTTTAAAACAACTTTTAAATATTCTCAAGGAAGTTTTATATATATATATATAGTCCTGGTGTGGCACTGTGGGTTAATGCACTGAACTGCAATGTCAGTATGAATTGCAAGGTTAGCAGTTCAAGTTCACCAGCTGCTTCTTGGAAACCCTATACAGGGTTGGTATGGGTTGAAAACAACTCCATGGCACACATACATATATATATACACACACATATATATACATACACACACACACATATATGCATATATATACCACTAAAGAAAGTCAGAAAATTATAAATGATGTAGGAACAAAATGAGATTATTAACAAAGAGATATAAATTATTTAAAAAAAAAACAAATGATAGTGCTAAAAAGAAGTACAATAGGTGAGTTTAAAAAGCATTAGAGGATCAACAGAGATCTGAACTGGCAGAAGAAAGAACCAGTGTACTTAAAGATCAGCCAATTGAAATCATCCAGCCTGAGGAACAAATATATAAAAGAAAACAGAGGAAAATGAACAGAGTGTAGGCGAACTGGAGGACACCGTTAAGTAAACCAGTAGGTATGTATTATGGGAGTCTCAGAAGGAGAGGAGAAAGAGAAAGGGAGCAGGAAGAAAAATGACTACAAAATTTCCAAATTTATCACAAGACACCCATGTGCGCCTACAGTGTGTTCAACAAGCTCTGTGTATGAGAAACTCCATGAGACCTGGACAGACACATTATAATCCAGCCATCAAAACCCAGACACAGAGAATCCTAAAAGTAGCAAGAGAAAAGCGAATGTGCCTTCTATTTGATCGAGCAATTAATTCCAGAAATTTATCCTAGAAACGTGAAATGACACATGGATTAAGCAATCAGTGTACAAAGACTGAAGCGTTATTTTCTATACCAGTAATTGTAAAAATCCTATATTTCTATGGAAAGGATTGTTGTTGTTGTTGTGATGTGCTGTGGAGTCGGTTCCAACTCATAGCGACCCTGTACAGAGTTTCCGAGGCTGTAAATCTTTACGGGAGCAGAAAGCCTCATCTTTCTCCCACAGAACAACCGGTAGTTTTAAACTGCTGACTGTGAGATTAGAAGCCCGATTCGTAAACACTATACTACCAGGGGTTAAATAATTTATAATACAGTCAAATAATGGTAAAACCTGTAGTCTTTTAGAAAGAATGAGACAACAATTTGTTTAGGGATGATCTTCAAAATATGTTCAGAGAAAGCACATAATACTGAATTGCTGTTGTCATTGTTAAGTCCCGTTGAGTTGGTTCCAACTCATAGCGACCCTATATAGGGTTGCTGAGGAGAGGCTGGTGGGTTTGAACTTCCAACCTTGCAGTTAGCAGTCCAGTGCTTATCCTACAGCACCACACCAAGACTCCATAATGCAGAATTGTTAACTGTCATCGAGTCGGTTCCAACCCAGAGTAACCCTGTATATGGCTTCCAAGGAGCAGCTGGTGAGCTTGGACTTCCAACCTTATAATTCAAAGCGGCTTTGCAGTCCAGCGCATTAGCCCACAGCGCTACAGTAGGCCAGAATAGTACATATTATATACTGTGATGTTGTTATGTGCCGTGGAGTTGGTTCTGACTCATAGCGACTCTGTAGAGGGTTTTTTCGAGGCTGTAAATCTGTACAGGAGCAGAAAGCCTCCTCATCCTCCTGTGGAACAGCTGGTAGTTTCAAACTACTGACCCTGAGGTTAGCAGCCCGATTCGTAACCACTACGCTAGCAGAGCTCCTTATAGACTGGGATGTGTGGAGGGAAAAGGGAAGGCATGCTTTCATATGCACGGACAAGGACTTGGCACTAATTGTTGCCACTACAGAGGGAGTTGGATGCACTGTAACACAGGGGTAAGAGAGAGACACACTGTGAACGCTTTGTACATTTTGGATGCTCTGTCACATTAATTATCTATTTAAAATGAAAGTAACAATTTACAATGATGGAGACATTCCATAAGGAGAAAAGACGTCTGTTTCTCTCCCAAGTTTTCCTTTTCATGGCTTTCCTGAAAAGGTTTGTTTGTTTGCTGCTGTTGATTATAACAAGAACCTATTAATAGAGACGGCAGGGGAGTGGTGAACTCCTTATGTTTCACCCAAAGTATAAAGAAGAGGTCAATTAAACTTGTAGAAAATGAAATAGAGAGTAGTGAATTGTCAAATAAAAGGGGGCTCCAACAAGCCTAAGTGTCAGCTTCTCCTCAGAAAAAAGAGACCAGAAGGCAATAAGATGAAAGAACATTAGAGAATGCTGAAAGACCAAATAAACAAAACTGACTGTCAAGAAAGAACTCTGTACCTGAACTTCCAGGACTGATCAGAAACCTTCTGCAACAAAGACAGGGGAGTTTACATGAAGCAGGTACAGGTGGTGGCCCTGGAAAGTCAGCCGATAGGACAGAGAGGTGGACTGAATGCCAACCAGGAGAGTAAACAGAACAGGACCAGAACGTGAGAAGAATGGGCAGACTATGGGCTGTTGTGGAGCTGTGTGGTCTTCCTGAGCTTCCCAAGTGCCTATCCACACAGCAGCCTTCGGGCACAGGACACGGCTGGAGGTTGGCAGCAAGGAAGGCTGCAGGGGGTGTGGTTAATCCCCACCCTCATCAACCCAGTAACCAGTTACACCCCCTCCTGCAAGCCACTGCTCTGCCTGGAGTCAGGCACCTGACATAGCACCCCTGTTTCTGTGGGTGTGTGAACCCACCCTGAACTGCACTCCACAGTGAACAGAAAACCTTGTTCACACTTCCAGTCTCTCTCACAACCTCCAGGACACAGGTGGTGAGTGCCTGAGAACACACCAAGTTATAATCATCAATCAAATATACATACAACACCACAGTGTC